AAGGACTAAAGCTGGGCTTCTGGACTCTACTTGGACTCCTACCCTACAGGTCTACAGTTCGAATCTTCCTACAGCCTACAACCTACGGTGACCTACTTACCACTGGCTATCGTGCAGGTCACGGGTTCAACTCCAGGGAACTGTACAGATACTGTACACAGGTAAGCTGAGGTCAAGGGATCGACCCCTGGGATCTGCACCGGCTACTGCCAAAGGTGAAAACTGTTTCAATCCACCCCTCAAAGAAATATCTTTCCATCCGTTGTTGCCCCCCCCAACGGTCGGCGGCCCTTGACTGGTCGGCTGCCGGGCCGCCGACCGATGGGCTGGTCGGCACCTACCCGGTCGGGGGTCGTCGGCACCCCACAAAAAAAAAAATAATAATAATTTAGTTCATTTTATTTTTTGGGGGGGTCCAGAACCCCGAATAACACATCCAAGACCCCCATAGCGTCCTGCAATACACCCATACATCCCCCCAAACCGCCCCCAACACCCTCATTGCCCCCCCCCAATACCCCCTATACCACCCCTATACCCCCTTATACTTCAACCCCAACCCCCCCATCCCCAAGAGTTTCTCAGCGGATTTGGGCTGTACTCAGCAAGCGCAGTACAGCCCCCAACTCAGATTTGAAAAAAATTAAAAAATCAGTGGACGTTTTTTTTCTTTTTTCTTTTTTTTTACACTGGTCGGCAGACCGCCGGTGGTCGGCCCAACTGGTCGGCCGCAATACGGTCGGCAGTCGGGGTCGGCGGGCGGCAGGGATGCAACTCTGTTTCCATCCACATAATACAACGCCTGCATCTTCTACTTCACTACCAGCTCGTACCTGGTCCAGTGTTGCCATTCCATATCCTGACCATGATGACGAGAGCACCGGCTGGATAACGGACCAGCCGAGTCCAGTCAAGGCTTGTGCAAGAGGCTCAATATACCTACACAGACACACAAAGGACCACATTGTTGCCAAGGATGTGTCATCAGAGAAATTTTGTTAATCGTTCCCTGACTTCCTAACAGGTCCCAACAAAACCTTTTCAATCTTTGAAACTGGCAGCTGCTACTAGACCATACACTTTGCTAGGCTATGGTTCATATTGACCAACTGGGATAAATGTTGTGGACCATTGGATCTGGCGGTGATCTCGCAAGCCTAAGGCAATGATTTAATTGCAGATACTAGTATACTACTGCATGTTTTGTGTTTTCACTTTTCTTTCTTGTTTTTTGGAACAAAATGAAAACCATGAGATCTTGAGTACTAGTAAACACGCTTAGAGCGCACAGAAATAAATCGCTGAACACAATGCTCTGAGGTCTCTATTTTTTTCCCCTTTTTCCCACAAAACAACGCCTTATGGTCCTGCATCCATATCATACCTGCGGCACATCGCGTGCGCGCGAGCATACGTGTGCACGTGATGCGGCGCACCCCAATAAATAGGTTTTTTTTTTTTAATTCGGAGAGGGCTGGCTGAGGTAGCCAATGGCGCCCCTCCCTTCTGAAAAAATTAGGGGCACAGAAAAAAAAATTGGGGCCACGTATTCCTTGTTGAATAGTCTTTTTCCCGAAGGACCCCAGCAGTGCATCTGCAAGGGTCCCAACATCTCAAGAGACATTCAGCAAAGTTTGTGTGAGAGGCGGAGCAGGCCAGGAATATATGTTCTGGATCCGAAGTCAGGTCTGCTTTTAAAATTGGTCTGGTTATTGCCTTTTTCAGTTTCCCTGCTCATTTCATACTAGAGTAAGCAAATGCTTAAAAAAGGGGGGATAGGGAGAGGGAGGAATTAGCATGTAGTAGCAAGATCTGGCGCCGGGCTCAAGGTGAAGAGATTCCCCCCTCCTTCCTCTATCCTGCTCAGTCAATCCCCTGGAATCCAGGGTAATCAATGCTGGCAGGAACCTCCCTCGTTTCTTTTGATTGTTTTCAGAGATGGCTCAAAACTCATTTTGTATGAGGGACGCTGGACCCGTTTTCCAGCAGGTGATGCTCCCCACCAATAGATGGAGCCACTCCCCAGGTGCTAGTGGTGTCTGCTCCTATCAGCAGCACTACCACTGGTAGGGATGTTGTTTAAAAAAAAAAAAAAAAAGAGTCTGTTTTCCAGCAGTTATGGGTTACAGGTTGCAACTACTTACTACCATAGCTCTCTCTTTCTCTTCTTTCGTTTTCCTACAAGCAGTGGTGTGATGCGCAACCTCACGCCCCGCGCGGCCCTTCCGTACGTCGGACGCCGATCAGAGTTACTAGGGGTGTGGCCGAGGATTTTTTGCCATGGGGGTTGAGCCACCCGGTCGAAACGGGGGACTCTTGCTTCAGGCCGAGGTGCCCAGGCTGAGGTTTGAGCTGTCGCCGGGGGCGAACGACGGCGTCCTATAGGCCGACCGTCATTCCCCCATGGAAAAAGGAAAGAAAACAAAACGAGAGGGAGAGAGGAGAAGATAACAAAACCGACGGAGACGAAGTTCCGTTCCTCGAGGCGCGTGGTTCGCGCGGCCCTTGGGGGCGAAGGCCCCAAGAACAGGGTCGGGCTTCGTTGTCCGACTCGTCGAGACCGTGCGGACGGCGCGGCACGGGCTCACCCGGGGTTGGGCAGGTCGATGGGACCCAGGTTCGAAAATGGGCGGGGAGTGCACCCGCATTGCGGGAGAGTTCGGGGAATCGAGTAGCCCCTTCGTACCCCACGACCAACCGTCGCCACGAGCAAGAGTCTCCCTGGCGACACCAGTGACAATTAAACCGCGGTCGCCAGGTGGCGTGCACCGCGGACCAGGGCAACACCGTGAGGTCTGTGTACGGCGAAGTTAAGGGCGGGGAAGCAAATTGCTCAATCAGCACAAACCCACTCCAGCCTCTGTGGCACGCCTGGGTCGGGTTATAAAGATGGATTGGCTCAGTGCGCCACAACAGGCTCTACACGTCCGCATCGCAGTATATGCCATTGTCGTCTGCGATCGGAAAGGGCGGAAGCGCGCTGCGACACTCTGAGACAAGGTCCGAGCTCGGGCCACGGCCCGCGCGTCCGCTCGTCGAGACGAAACCTAACTCCATGCAAAGATCGACAAACACCGCCGAAGAAGGATGCACCCAACTTTCTTTCTCTGTCTCTTCTCTGTAACATCCACCTGAACGCGGTGTCGGGCACCCTTGGTGGAGATAGAGAGGTCGACCGCTTCGTGTGGATGTGGGTGGCCGATCTCTGTGAAAGTATCCACCTCCCCTTGGAGTCCCGACCTGCGCACGAAGAACGAGAGAGAGAGAGAGAGACAACGAGAGGAGGTTGGCGCGTATCACACACATTCGCGCGGGTTAAGGGCAATTAATCAAAAAGGAAGGGAGAAAGAAAGGACCGATGCATTCATGCACTCATGTCCGCAATCAACACTCGGTACCCTATGATCATCAGCCCTTACTGAGACATTCACATCCATAGACTTCCATACCCAAGAAGGCATACAATACACTACCCCCACATTGGGGAACTTGCACACATCACAAGGGGACAAAGCAGCAATGGAGAAAAAACTTCGTCTTAAAAATACAAAATTCTCTCAACTGGCCACAAGGCCCTGCCGCTGTCGGCGTCTGATCTCCACCACCGCTCAGTCCCTCCAACTGCCTTACCCCAACTCTACCGCTAACTCCGCCACTTGTCGTCACTCCGCCCACCACGGGGCACGTCGAGCCTTTCCGGCGGCGCGGGCTTCGTGCATAGCTTGCGCAGCTTGCAGCCGAGATCAAAGAGAGTGCGAGGAAGGGGTTGCGAGAATTTATAGCGCTGAAGGCGGAGGAGAGGCTGCGCGAAGAGCGGGGTGTAGATGATCAGGACTGAAGAAGGGCAAACGTTCCAAAAGGATCGAAGGAGGCGAGTCGAATGGTTCTGCGTGATTGGGGTGGTCGTCCAAGTGGGGTGCGCTTCCCGCGGCCACCACATTGCCCTGACCATTCCAATCAGACAGCCAATCATTCGCAGGGAAAGGAGGAGGGGATCGGATTTCACTTAGAGGGAAGACGAAGAGACATGCAGGAGCGAGATGCACAGCAAGAAGGGTAGATGGCGTGGGGATGCGAAGCGGGAGAACAGGTTTCCGCAGCGCGCGTGTGGCGTCCGGGAGTAACGAATGTGAATGGCAATGCTTCGCTTTTGTCGAAGCCGCAGGAATGTGCGGACATGGGAACGGTAAAACTAGACCTATTCTACCTAAAATAAAGTCGAGCGGCTGCTAAGCCGCGTGATTCAGAGCCTAAGTAGGCTAAACTGAGGCCGGATATAGGTGGTCTCTCATGCTACCGATAGAAAGCTGGCCAATAAAAAGGGTGCCAGCAGGCCGATCGCGAGGCCTACCCGTTGGATGAGCCCGAAGCCATGGATGGGCAGCCATCCACGGGAAGGCCGCAGGCAGGCGAGTCCTGCAAAGCCACAGGCGGGCAGAGCCTGCAAGGCCACAGGCAGGCAGGGCCTGCATGGCCACCAGCAGGGGGGGGATAACGACCGGGCAAGCTCTTCTTATAGAAGAGCTGCTCCTATCACTGTTGTGATAGGAGCTAGCCCAGTAGGTCACAGTGCCAAACTCTCACCTGGCAGATATCGGGTTCGAATCTGATATGCCGCGCCCTACTGGGCATAACTCCTTTTGGAGCGGCCGTGGGATTAAGTCGTCCAACGCGGCCGTTTTCGGCAGTGCGATCTGTGAAATCGCACGGCTGAAAACAGCCGCGCGGATCAAGTTTGGCATGGTCCCTGCGCAAGGATGACACGCATAAATCGAAAAAAAAAAAAAAAAAGAGTCCCATAGGACTCAAACCCGGGTTTGCATTTCAACGGTTCAAGAGTAGGCCGCTACGAGACAGGACCGTTGGGATATGCCAACGGGGTTAAAAAAAAAAAAAAAAAAAAAAAAAAAAAACTAAAATTGAAACGATGCGCCAGGTGGCGCTGCCGGAACTCAGGGCACTTAGTATCCACAGGAAAAGACAGCAGGTGCCCGTGAAAACGGGCTACCTAGCGATGAGGTAATTGTTTTTTTTTGTTTTCTTTTCTTTCGTTTTCCTTAGACTTTCATTAGATTTTTTTTCGTTTTAGATTCTTATTAGATTTTTTCTTTCTTTTTTTGGTGCTTGACGATAGAACACCCGTTCGTTTCAGATGAACGGGGCAAAAAAAATAAATAAATAAAAATGAAAGGATGAACATGCTGCCGTAAGGCGGCTACGTTCTGGCAACGGGTTACGAGGGGCTCTCTGCACACGAACGGGCAAGTCATTCTCGGAGGGCTTTTGCGACTGGTCGTTCGTCGCTGGCGACAACTGCAATTGCAGAGAGAGAGAGATTATGGGCCGTGCGCCTGTATCGGGCGCCTATGCGGCCCAGATGCGGGCGCAGGCAGGGGGAGACAAACCCCTTGGAGCTTGCCTCTAGTTCGTTTCTGTGAAATGACTTGAGAGGGGGTGGCTGCTCGTTTTTGAAAATGAGCTGCCCCCTACACAGAAAAGCGAGGGTAAAAGGGAAAGAAAAAGGAAGAAAGAAAAGTAAGGAAAAAAAAAAAAAGGGGGGAGAAAAGGAAACGGCCGTGTATGTGGCCGCGGTCGTGGGATAGATGCGAGGGGTGGAAGGTTCTAGCAGGGGGAAAAGACTGCAACTGTTCATTTTGAACAAGTTACAGTAAATGGCTGGGTACGTGGAGCATGTGGCCTACGGGGAAGGCCAAATGCTTCCGCGAACTGATGGCTTTGGTTCCCCTACGGGAAACCAAGGCACCGGGCTCCTGGCTGTTGACCTGGATCGAGGGCCAGGAGCAATGACGAAAATTTTACCTGGCTGTGGGCATGGCAGGTGCCCACATACCTTCAGCTGGCTATAAAAGCCAGCACTCCACCTAGCAGCCTCACACTTGTGGCAGTGCTGCTGGGGCATTCACTTGAGTGAATGCTGG